GTACTCATTTTACCGACCTCGGAAGGATAGAAGGCTGAGTCAACCTTGAGCCGGCTACCTGGGATTGAATCCCTGGTCTTGAGCACAGTTTTGATTGCAGTACAGCAGTTTAACCACTGCGCCACGAGGCTCTTTCAAATAGTTTATACATAATGAAATACAATAATTTAAAACTCTTTCAGAACTAATCCCCACATATATACACACATGCTCCTGGTATCTACATTATTTTCTAAATTTGGTTTTGTTTGTTATTGCAGCTTGATAAAATACACACAGGATATAGAAAACAACTAGGTTGTTGAGACATGTCCCTGTTAGGATGTTAATTGTCACATTAGCATTCCAGGTCACTTTGTTAACTGAGATGAGGAAATAGTCCAACCTGATGTCCTAGAAGTGTATGAATGACTGTTAGGGAAATACTATGCCAACTCATCTCGAGGGCATCATTTCATTTCCAGAATAGTTAAGCTCTTTGTTTAGGTATTTGAGACTACATTTAAAGAAGGTTTTCTAGTTGTGTGCCACAGTTTTTCATTTCTGTCAGACTAGATATGAATTCACATTTTGATAATTTCATTCTCTTCTCAAGGTATCCTCTGTGTGGCTGATCAGTGCCACGGTTTACGTGAGCTTGCATTGAACTATCATCTGCTAAGTGACGAACTCCTCCTTGCTTTGTCTTCTGAAAAACACGTCAGATTAGAACATTTGCGCATTGATGTAGTCAGTGAGAATCCTGGACAGAGACATTTCCACACAATTGAGAAGAGCAGCTGGGATGCTTTTATCAGACATTCTCCAAAAGTAAATTTAGTCATGTATTTTTTCTTATATGAAGAAGAATTTGATCCATTCTTCCGTTATGAAATACCTGTCACTCACCTTTATTTTGGGAGATCTGTCAGCAAAGAAGTACTTGGCCGGGTTGGAATGACGTGCCCTCGACTTGTTGAACTTGTGGTATGTGCCAATGGATTACAGCCACTGGATGAAGAATTGATTCGCATTGCAGAGCGTTGTAAAAATCTGTCAGCTATTGGCCTTGGGGAATGTGAAGTTTCCTGCAGTGCCTTTGTTGAGTTTGTGAAGATGTGTGGTGGCCGCTTATCTCAGTTATCTATCATGGAAGAGGTCTTGATTCCTGACCAGAAATACAGTTTGGAGCAGATTCATTGGGAAGTGTCAAAACATCTAGGTAGAGTTTGGTTTCCAGATATGATGCCCACATGGTAGAGTCTCCGAAGAAGGCATGTGGAACAGTACTTTCACTTTTGAGCATCCCATGGAGAAACTTAATCACATAAGCTAATATGATACTGTTGAGTTTGTAAAATTTCTGAGACAATCTATGTGCAATTCAATGTTTATTTTTAATATCCAGGTTTTAGGGTGGAATCTGGGGATGATCTGAAACACTTGTTCATATAAAATTTTCGTTTGCTCATTTTCCACTGAGACAGACCCTAAAAATTTGTAGAAACTTAAATAAGTTGACTTATTCAAATGCTGTAGTTTCAGATTTGGAAGAAATTTTAACCTGGTACTTTGATCTAGGTTTGTAAACTGACTGAAATGCATTTGCAAGCATAAAATAAAAATTTTATTGTTGACTTTTGAATATGCTAGCAATACCTGGATTATATGACAATTGAGTGCTTAGATTACAGAACCACAGTTTAATAAATAGGTTATAGACCATTAATTTTTTTGATAATGAAATTATGAAGACAGAACAATACAGAAACATAGTTGGACATATTGGTTTATAGAAAATGTCTTTTTTTCCATTGCTTTTTCAGCTGCCCTAGAAAATATAGTTGTGTATAAATACTAGCAGTGTATTTCCCCCATTGCCTTTAATTCTTCTGTGTGGTTTTTAAAATGGAAAATTGATATTTGTACAGTGTTAAAATTTATATAAAACCTGTTTTAAGGTATTATTAAAGCTCAGGAAGCTAAAGTATTCTGGAAGGAATATAGTGTATTTTGGTGACCTCCTTAGGTTGGTGTTCTTATTTCTCATGGTAATTGTTTTGCAGCATTGGTTTCAGGCATGCTGTACCTCTTTTCCACTAAAGGAAACCAAGTGTTTGTACAAAAACGTTAAATATATTAAATGGTTTTTAGTGTAAAGGAAAACTAAGACCACCAGAAGGGTGAGGGGTAAATAAGATAGAAAGTTGCTAGCGTTTATTTCGATATTTTGTGTATTTCGCATTCAGTGGTGAGATAGCATTTTTGACCAGGGCCTGAATCTAAAGAGGCATGAGGAGTTCCTAATCTTTGCATTTTGGGAGTGGTATTTCTCACCAAACATTTTAGGAGAGTTCTCTGGCTGCAGGGTGTGATTTAAGAGGAGATACTGTGCTAAGAAAGTAGTGGCTGAAAGTCATCTTTGCATAAACAGAAAACCTTATACAGTGGTGCCTCGCTTCACAACGTTAATTCGTTCCAGCGAAATCGCTGTAGAGCGAAAATGTCAAGCGAAATTAAAAAAACCATTGAAACGCATTGAAAACCGTTCAATGTGTTCCAGTGGGCGAAATACCTGCTCGTCCAGTGAAGATCCTCCATACGGTGGCCATTTTCTGGTGCCTGTAATGTGAGGAATCCGTCCCTAACACAGCGGGGAGCCATTTTCTACAGCTGGCAGCAGTTTTGAAACCTGACGATCAGCTGTTTGCTGATCATCGTAAAGCGAAAAATTGGTTCCCGAAATGGAACCGATCGACGTTAAGCAAAATTCCTCCATTTAAACGTCATTTTGCGATCACAAAAACTTCAACGCTAAGCAGATTTGTCGTCAAGTGGGGTAATTGTCCAGAGGGGCACCACTGTATGGCTCTTTAATCCTATCCAAAATAAGAATCAAAAAGTTTGATAATAGTTAGGATCAAAAGAACAGGTAAACTAGTTTTAGAAGCTTTTAAAAAAGGGTTGTTCCTTAAGCAGCAGGTTTTCTCCAAAGTTACATGGCATCTAGCTCCTCAGATTGCCTTCAGTCTCAAACATATTTCATGATGGAGTAGGAGGGAGGCATCAGCTGTGTAGTACTCCTTTAAAAATTTCCCTATTGGCTTCTCTTTCATTCCTTGCCTTTTAAAAAAACAAGGTGATGCACATCCCTCCCAGGTTAATCATCAGCACAAGATTTTACTGTGAAAACAAATGCCATTGCAGTAAGTGGTTTGGTGTGCTGCAATATGAAAAGGGAGGCTTTGTGTCTACAGTTTTCCACCAAGTGAAGTGTTACAAAAGTATTTATAATTTGGGTAATTATTAAGAATTCTACTGAAGATCTGTGCTATACAAGGAGAAACATGGTTTTGTTAACATTTTGAATGGAAAGAATGTAGTAATTTTATGGAGTGTTTCTCCAAAGCATACTGAATTAAGTGGGCAGCAGGCAGCTTTTTCTGTACCAATTTGGGCAGATTTTGAACATTTCATAACTGAAGTTAAAGACCTGAAAAAGCACTTTGAAGAAAATATGGAGTAAACTATAAATGTCACAAACAAAAAAATCAGTTGTGGATTCTGTTGAAAGTGAGGCAGAACCTTAGCCTTGTAAATATCGATTTTATATTGGGGTATAGGAGCCTTTTGTAATTAGAAACTGTACCTATTTTATTACTTCTATGTACCAAATGCATAGTTGAGAGCAAGTTGTGCTAAGTGCAAGTGTACAGTTTTGATAAAACTTTGCTCAATGGACTGAGAATCCGAGTGTGAAAGCATGTTTCGTAGGTCACTTCTGCATTGAACAACAAGGAAACTGCCCCAGTGCAGAGCGGGAGTCCAAATATCTGGGAATTCCAGAGGTTCATATGACGAATAGTTCCTTTGGAGGTGCCCTAATGGGCATCAGAACCTTGCAAGTTCTAGATAGGCTTTTTATTCCCACAGTTCACTGGGGCAGTTTTCTTGCTGTTTGAAACAGAAAGGGCTGCTCTGAAGCCTCCTTGTTTTGGGGCTCCCACTCCCAGAATTTTGTCTGGTGGGTTTTTTGTTCTTTTTAACTGTATTGCAAATTCTGTGAGTAGAAACCTGCAGGCTGCATCCCTCGCATATTGCATGGAATTTTAATGTTGTGCATAAGGCCAGAAGATACCCAGTGTAGTTTAATAGATAAGAGTGATGGGCTAGGACTCGGGTGGCCTGGGTTTGAATCTCTGCTCAGCCATGGAAACTCACTGGAGGTGTGATTCTTCAAATATTTGACTTACCTTGAAAGGCCTCTTAGGTTCACTATAAGTTGATTCTGACTTGAAGCTCCATAATAACGACAAAGTATCCACAGAGCTCCATGTGGATACTAAAACACACATGGGTACTACAGCTGCTAACCAGCCCACTAACAAAAATGAAGCTGGGAGTAGTGGTCCTTTGAAAGACATGTTTTCTTGTGTTGTAACATTTCTCAGAGTTCATTTGCATTAATAAATAAATAATTGGGGTTATGGCACACCTTGAGTATAATTCTATGAAGAATTTTTGTTACTGTTTTGAAATTAACCTGAGTTTCAAAAATGGTGAGAGAAAGAAAATTATCTTTTTTGGTTGAAGGAAACAAAAAGTCACAATCCTTGGCTTGGTATACTGGTCAGTAGGCCAAGTTATGTGGCAGTGGTAAAAAATAAAATAAAATCCATGAAATTAAAGATTGTCATTATGCCCATTTACCTATGAGAATTAAAATCATTTGTGAACAGGAAAAAAAATAGTGGGGGTAAATAATTTCTTTTTAATATCCAGAAGCTTGTATTGGTTTATATACAAGATATATGCAAGTACTGAAGCAGCTTCTAACTTTTCTTTATTTAAATGTACTAAGAAACACAGGCAATTTTGTACTTTTCCACATATGTAGAATAACTGAGCACTAAAGATAAAATTAGCTACAATCTTCACTAAACATCTTTCACAAGTGGATGTCTCGTTAGTAACAGCAAACATGTTTTGAAGAGGTACAGCAGTTCTAATTACTTTTTTGTGTAATATTTGTGCAACAAATGGGGATTCATTATGGCAACTTTAGCAGCACTTAAAAGGGTATTGTTTAATGTTTTTAAAATGTCCTGATTGCATTTTTTACACTGCTTTTCCACCAATGCACTCACATTAAGTTTACATTTTTCCATACTGAAGTGTTACATGGCTGAGAAGTACAGAAAATATCACGGAATTTTCTCAGCCTGTGATTATTTCTTCAAGAGTGATCCCTGAGTTCCTGGATTAAGTGTTCTTTCCTGTGGAAATCTGTGCTGTCTCTCTCTGTCTCTCTCTGTCTTGGCTTGGAAGATGCGTTTTTTGGAGTTCTGCTTGGTTCTTTAAGCAAAGATGTGTCTGAGGAAGTAGATGGCAACTCATGCAAGTATACATGGAAATATCCCTGTGAGTTTTAAAGTTAGCAGAAATACTTAAAATGTCTTGTTTTAAAGATTTTTTTTAGCTTACTAGAAAAACAGTAAGGGGGAACGTGGCTATGTCTGTCACATAAAGAAGGCATGAATTGTTAAGCTCAATGATAAGATCTGGGCACAGAAAGATCATAGCATGGTTCTCTAGACAGAACATACATTATCACTTAAAAGAATGATGTAGGATATACAGTTGCCAAGTCACCTAAGCCACGTTTTCTAGTGGAACAATTTTTTCCCCTTTCTGACAAGTGAAACTCATTTTCACTTCGGGCGTAAAAAGCAAGCCACTCATCTGTTGGATTCTCAGACTTACCCAAACTGTGGAAGAATCTTAGTTAAATACAGAGTATTTCAGTAACAGTCACTCTTAAACAACTAACCAGGAGCAAAGGACTACAAGTCCTCACAGTAAAGCAAACAAAAGATCCCTGAGCAGCTTTTATACTTTTATACTTTTAATTCTGACTTTAAATTAAAAAAAAGAAACCAATGTAGACATACATGAAAAACTCATATTTTTCTCTCCTAAACATCTATAGCAGAGTTTGCAGGATTAAAGCTCTGCATATATCATGCAGAGTGTGAACTTTCAAATGTTTCCTGCAGTTTACTTGTAACCCAAGTACAGGTTACCCTAGGTTAGCCAAGTACAGGCAATGGTTTTAAATTACTCAAGCAGTTGCATTACTGATTTCTACACTGACCAAAAATCCCACCGGTGTTTTTGTCTAGTTTGCATAATTCACTGAGGCTAATTGCTGGGGTGCATCTCAGTTACCTTAAGAGATGGTGAGGACTGTAGCACTAGAGCCATCCAAGAGAAAATTAGAAGACCATGTGTCAGATCTACTTTGATTTGCATTGAGCAGGGGTTAGACTTGATGTCCATATAGGCCCCTTCCAATTCAATTATTATCAATAGGATTCTGGTCATTGTCTAGGTTGGGTATATAAAATACAGAGTTATACTGTTTATAGTAGGACTGCATACACCCCCAAGCTTTTTTGTGGTCCCCAGATTGTCCTGGTCTGCCCATCCCCCAAATTTTCTCCACAAAAAAAGTGAATTGCAGCACCCAAGAACACACAAACCAGTTTTGAAAAAGAGGAATTGGACTTCTGGCTATGATCAGAGGTAGTCCCTACCCCATTTTCAGCAGTTTCACTTTTATTGCCAGGTTTAGACTGCAAAATGTAACCCATGGAAGCCAATTCATTGAGATTTGTTTGAAAAACAATTCAAGCAGCAGCATATGTATTAGTCATTACATCATTAAGACTGCAGAAGCCTAGTAATTTAGCACTCATGATTAACAGAAATCACTGGTCACCTCAGTTTCCATAATTGCCCTTGAGAGGGAACTGTACCAACCCCAGAAAGAGTAACTGCACCTATAACTATTATTCTTTAAAGATTCACGTGTTCAACAATGCACTGATCATAGAAACTGGTGTGTTCTTGACGTTTCTTAGCCTTTAACTGTAAGTGCTCTGCTCAGGTTTCAGATTTGAAATGGGGTGGATATTATCTATTCAGGAGAGACTCAATTTCATACTGTGCCTATGCCCATGTTTCTTATCCAATTTCTCAAATGAGGTGGTGGGAGAAACCACCCCTAGCCTGAAATTGTAATAACTGATATTTAGATATCAATTTCATACTGGCACAGAGTACTGTTTTAGATTTTATTTCTGTTCACTTATTTTTAAAAAATATTTATCTGCCGGCTATTCAGCAGAAATTTACTCCATGTGGGTTTACCACACCCTGTGTATATTTGTGAAGAGAAAATTAAAGACCTGTGTGTGTGTGTGTGTCTAATCTCATTTTCTTACTCAATTCAAAGTAAGATGTCTTCATTCCATCAGTAGAATTAGCCCAATATTAGTAGCAACCCAGGTATCTACCATTACTTGCAACCATCTACATGTCCATGAGGCAGTTCTGAGACATCTCTTGGCTTGTCCTTAGTGAATGAAGCTGTGGGGTTTTTGGAACTCGGAGATAAAACTACACACCAATCAGGGTGGCATTTGAGTTAGGTAATGGGATTTCTTCATAGGCTATTTTTATAAAAGGATATCTCATTGGCAAAAACCAATATTCCAAGTTATAGAAGAGATAAAACTGATGGTCCAAAACTACTTCATCCAGTATTCTCAAGAGGCTTACAAAGAACTCTTTGACTGTGTGGAAAGGTTTGAATGGATAGTAGAAATCTCTAATAGCAACAGCTAGTCTTTTGTTTCCATGTGGTCCAAATATAGTTGTTTCATTGCCCAAGCAAGTGGGTTCTCCACTAAAGAGAGTAATAGTGGTGTAATTCGTTTGTATCTTCTTGAAAATGGCCCCAAGTTCAGCCAATTTTTGGTATGTCCGCAGTACAAACTTAGAACATTCATAAGACTCAAACCACACTATAGCATGCTCTTCGGGGCTGTCTTTCACCATCCATGTCTCATAGTAAATGCCAGTTTCATTATCATATTTCACCCATTTTGCCATTTGATTAAATACAGCTCCTGTAAGGAGAGAGGAAGGGAGGCAACAGCATTACATTAAGAATTACATTATGCTCAGCTACTGGTATTGTGGGCTAAAAATTCTGCACCCAGAAAAGATGGAGTCTGCAACCTATATGAATAAATCTAATGCCTATTTTTACTTTGCCTGTTGATTTTATTTTTGCTAATATATAGCAAAATCTATCTATTCTCAACGTATATTTATAAACAAGACCTAGAAGTACACTTATTCAACCTCATATTGTACATAGACATGTACAATCACACAAGTATATATAGTATTAGCACAGCCATTCTCAACGGGGGCCGGAGGGGTGTTCTAGCACATTTGAAGGGGGCCACAGACTTAAGAAATGTGAGAAGTTTCTGAAGATACCTGTTTGACAGAGGGTCCTGGAACCTGAGAAGAGCTCCTATAAGGGCTGTGGCCAAAAAAAACAAAACAAAAAACCAAGAATGGTTGGTATTAGCAACTCCTTCAACAAGCTCATACTATATATACATAATACGAGCCAATGGTATTTGTGCTTGCCTTGTATGTGGCAAAGGAGTCAAGGTGGGTTGACTTAAGGTAGTGATTAGTGAGGTCCCATGGTGTGAAAGGATAGCATTAAGAGAAGCCATGGGGGCTCCATTTCTTATTATTAGTGAGGTCCCATGGTGTGAAAGGATACGTAGCATTAAGAGAAGCCATGGGGGCTCAATTTCTTATTTTCTCCGTACTTAAAGAGAAGACAACTGTATACACTATCTCTGGCAAAATTCAGCAATAATGGAAATGCTCATGAACGTGTTAAAATGCTTTCCCTGACTTCTTTACCTGTGCACAGGTGCTTGGGCTCGTAGCGAGCTACACAAATATAATGCATGTTCTATAGGAGCCTACACTTAGTAGCTGACATCACAAAACAGATAAATAACCACTATTCTCCTTTATCAATGTGCCTTTTCACACTGTCTTTTCTATCAACAATTTCTGCGCAGGTTCAGACACCTATAACTAGAAGAGCTAGCTTGTATATATGGCTGGAGTGTGATCAGTTCCATGTTTCCACAAGGACTCACACTGAGTGAATGTGTACACATGCCTATCTACACACATATACCACACACAAAATATGAAGGGCTCATTCCTCTCATGGTGTGTTCCAACTCAAAAATCTCCTCACGTCATGCCCTTTCACAACCTTGGGTTCCTCAGGAGCTTTCCCTTAGGAGCTGTTCTGACCACAGGGGGTGTTCCTATTGCACTCTCTTTCTTGCTCAGGGCAAGCTAATGAACTATCATCCACTTATAGACTATGGATAAAATTCCCAGATAGTTACAAAGTCATTTTTGAAAGATATTTTTACAAGTCATTTCTGAGGACGCACATTAGATAGTTAGATATCTGACTTAGATTCTACGTATGTTTCTCCTAATACTGGGTTTAAAAAAAAGTTTTAAATAGGTCCAGAATTTATAAATACACAAGCCGATATTAATATTCTAATTAATCTGTCTTCAAAGATTTTTCTTCAGGCTTATAAGGTATTTGAGCACAATCCATCTGAGGTTAATCACTTCTAATGTAGTGTATACTTAATATATTGCAACCTCTTTTGCTGGAATCGGGTACTACATGACTAACTTTGCCTGGACTGCACACATTTTTAAAAACTGATCTTAATGTCCAGATCATGCAAAATAATAATAATAATATAATAACAACAACAACAACTTATTATTATCATTACTATCATTATTAGTAGACAACAACAACAACAACAACAATTTATTATCATTATTGTTAGTATGTGAGTGGCATAAAATATAAAAAGCCAAAGTTTTTTCTAAACTCATGGTGAGTTAAAATTGTTCCATGCTACACAGAGGAATGCATGCCAGTTCAAATTTTGTATTATCATTATTGCTGTTTCTTAGTTTTATTTGTATAATCAGCAATAATGGGATTAATGTTTCGTTTTCTTATCACATATTGATTGACTTAAAACACTGGAACACAGCAAGGATTGATTGCTAGCCGTCACCTTCCTATGTACTGCAAACTTGAATGAAAGGACTGTTTCATCCTTGCCTCTCCCAAGTATACAATCCACACCCCAGTTTAGCAATTCTGGGTTTTCCTAGAAATGCGCTAACAATATGCCTTCAGAAATGCCTCTAAGGCTGTAACCATACGTGGAGGGACTACCTTGTTTTAAACTGATTAAAGGTTCCTCTTGGAGTCTTTTCACTTCAAGTAGGATAAAAATGCTTAAATGAATTAATTAAACAAAGTCTGTTTACAACAGGATGAAAACTGTGATTGAAGTTAATTTTTGTTCAAGGATGGCCACTGAGCTCAGACGCAAGAGTGTCCCAGGAGTTCTCTCCCTGGTTTTTTTGATACTGAAGTTTATAATTGTTAGATGCACCATTTTTTCCTTTTTGTGTGGAGACTGGCTTATATGTCTTATGCAAAATGCAACAGTCAGTTGCTGGTAAATGATAATAGATATCACATTAAAGGCTGAGTGGTTGTATGAACCCCTTATGATGTAGACACCACTGAGAAGTCCTGCAACAATGCTTCCAGCGTAGACACAGGAATAGCACTGATGTACTCATCATGCGAAAGGCAGGACTCAATGAATTGCACTGAGAAGTCCTGCAACAATGCTTCCAGAGTAGACTGGATGTACTCATCATGCAAAAGGCAGGACTCGATGAATTGCAAGCCGGAATTAAGATTGCTGGAAGAAATATCTCATCTGATGGTGATCTTTAAGACCCAATCCCTGCAAATAAGGGAATGCATCAGGGATGTTTATTAACCCTCCTTATATTTAATTGATACCTAAATGATACTGCATCCTCCCTATCCAGCCCCATGATTTTCCCACCCCATCTAAAGGACAGGAATATATCGGTACTGTTGTCTGCAGATGATGCAATCCCCTCCTAGGGGTGGCGATGCAAAGGCTATTAAGGGCTTTAAGTGCTTATTGTGGTTGAAGAAGGCTGATGTCCAGAGAATTTATGCTTTTGAATTGTGGTGCTGGAGGAGACTCTTGAGAGTCCCCTGGACTACAAGGAGAACAAACCTATCCATTTTGAAGGAAATCAACCCTGGGTGTTCATTGGAAGGACAGATCCTGAAGCTGAGGCTCCAATACTTTGGCCATCTCATGAGAAGAGAATACTCCCTGGAAAAGACCCTGATGTTAGGAAAGTGTGAAGGCAAGAGCAGAAGGGGAGGACAGAGGATGTGATGGTTGGACAGTGTCATCAAAGCTACCAACATGAATTTGACCAAGCTCCGGGAGGCAGTGGAAGACAGAAGGGCCTGGCACGCTCTGGTCCGTGGGGAGAGGGGTCACGAAGAGTCGGACACAACTTAACGACTGAACAACAAAATATATCTCCCACAAATTCTGTTGTGAGGTCTGGTGAGTGATCCTTTCAAGTTGGGTGGTTGCCTATAAACATGTACAGGCCTGTCACCAAAGTGTTTGTGAGAGAAGGTTTGCATACCTCAGTTTGCAAACTGAGGCAAACACTCAGTGCATCTGATGAAGTGGGCTGCAATCCACAAAAGCTTGTGCCAAATGTATTAGTCTTTAAGACGTCAAAAAGACAGCTCTTATTTAATTCTTGGATACTTATTGGCATGTGGTAACTCTTGAGATTTACTCCTGACTGAATAAACAAGGTACACAATAACGGTTGTTCTGGGTTTTCCGGGCTCTTTGGCCATGTTCTGAAGGTCGTTCTTCCTAACGTTTCGCCAGTGTATGTGGCCGGCATCTTCAGAGGACAGCACTCTGTTCTCCGGTGCAGTTTGTCAGGCTGTGAGATCAGCTTTTTTTAAATATCTTTTTTATTTAATCTGAACATATAAATCTACCAACTACAAACAAATATACAATATAAGATTAAAAAAGAAAAAGAAATGAGAAAAAAGAAAAAAAGAACCCCCCTCCCCCTTTTGAGGATTCAGAGTCCCAAGAACCCATCTGAGTGATCTTGCAACAGTCACTCTGTGTGTGCATGCACCATCAACTCAGAACCAACTTCTAATAAGGTTTGCAAGGTAAGTGCGATATCTAAGGAGTCTTCATGTCCAGCAGTGTGAAGGCAACAGCAGAAGGGGAGGACAGAGGATGCGATGGTTGGACAGTGTCATCAAAGCTACCAACATGAATTTGACCAAGCTCCAGGAGGCAGTGGAAGACAGAAGGGCCTGGCACGCTCTGGTCCGTGGGGAGAGGGGTCACGAAGAGTCGGACACAACTTAACAACTGAACAACAAAATATATCTCCCACAAATTCTGTTGTGAGGTCTGGTGAGTGATCCTTTCAAGTTGGGTGGTTGCCTATAAACATGTACAGGCCTGTCACCAAAGTGTTTGTGAGAGAAGGTTTGCATACCTCAGTTTGCAAACTGAGGCAAACACTCAGTGCATCTGATGAAGTGGGCTGCAATCCACAAAAGCTTGTGCCAAATGTATTAGTCTTTAAGACGTCAAAAAGACAGCTCTTATTTAATTCTTGGATACTTATTGGCATGTGGTAACTCTTGAGATTTACTCCTGACTGAATAAACAAGGTACACAATAACGGTTGTTGTGGGTTTTTCGGGCTCTTCGGCCATGTTCTGAAGGTTGTTCTTCCTAACGTTTCGCCAGTGTCTGTGGCCGGAATCTTCAGAGGACAGCGCTGTGTTCTCCGGTGCAATTTGTCAGGAAGCTGAGTATTTATGGCTGTGAGATCAGCTTTTGTCCTTTTCAGGAGATGAGTGATTATGGTGAGCCTGGAAAGAGCCTGGAAAACCCACAACAACCATTAGATCCCGACCATGAAAGCCTTCGCAAATACACAATAACCTTTTTACCTGAGATTGTGGTCACCAGAATCAATGTCCCATTCTCCTTCCAGTGGGCATCATCTATTCCTTCATAGAAGCAAGCAGCCCCTTGGTTACACCAAAAAGGTGCAGACATGTTTTGGCGTAGATGTGGAAATGTACAATTCCCTAGCTGGAAGAGTTCATACCATTCCATTGTGTAGTTCTTTCCAGACATGGTACTCTTGAAACCAACAGCATCGTGCATGATTTTCTGAAAGAACAGAAAAATCAATTTCCTGTACATATACAATTTCCCATTTGTATATAGACTTCTCCCTTCAACAATGCTGAGATCAGGGAAGCCAGACAACCATGTAGTCCAAAATCGGTGTATAACTCTTATGCCCTCCAAAACTTAACTACAAAGCATAAACATTTGATTAACACACACAAACGTGTCAGCTCCCAGCTTGTCCCAGCACTCTCTCTGGCTACATGGAACAACAATGACAGTAGAGAGGGCTGGCCGGGCCACCACATTAGGGGGCCATCAAACTGCCAACAAGGGAGGGGCTAAAAAAGCTATTATGGGGAATTTCTTACTCATCCATTCATTTGTACATAGCCCAACATTAGCAACCCATTCCGAGCTTCATATTTGGCATGCTCACATTAAGCTGAGCCCACCAATTCACTCCATACTAGCCCCATACTGAGTATTCTGAGTGGTGGACAGTCTCCCCAAATACAGGTCAGGCAGCTTTGCTGCTGCCACCCAAGATCTGTTTCAACTAGAGACACTAAAGAACGGACACAAAATGTCCTGCATGTAAGAACTGCTGTAGACTCTATTCCAGCAACTTTGAAGGCCTTCGCCTGAATTTTGTAGCTCCTCTACCTACAGTCACTCTTGAGGTTACAATCCTGTGCAACCATATGAAAGAGTAAATTCCTGGGTAAACAATGTTAGACTTGATTGTAAATTGAATGTGCGTAGGACCGTACTACAAGGGCCTGTGCATATTTACTCAGAGGTAAGTCCCTCTAGATAGAGGCTCGTAACATTGTACAGGAGGCAGCAACAAAAACCATCCCAAAGAAAAGGAAATGCAA